AATTTTTTTGTATTTAAAATATTTTTTTAAACCAAAATAATAGGTGAAGACTGTGAACATAATTGATGACCTTCTTTCTTTCGAGGCCCTAGGCAGTTGCTTAGTTGACCTACCTATTAGGCCGGCCTTGCCCACGTCAGTGGTAAAATACATATAAAAATGTTAAATCATTTTTAAAAATAATAAAAAATTTAATTATAAAATAAATCATAAAAATTATAAAAATATCTCTTAAAATGATAAATTTTGAAAGAATGATACCTAAATTTTTTTAATCGTACCATAGTCGAATCCGATAGATATGTGACTGATAATTACCGCACTACTGTTGTGGAGGAGGGAAAGTCCACTACGCAACTTGAATATTACCTTTTGTCTCATCTACACACGTGGCAAACATTTATTGGTAAAACTTTCAACGTCAACAATCGAAGCTAGATAACAGCTGCCCTTTCAGCAGTTTCGTACAGGATCACCCAACTTCCTTTTTGACTTTTCCACGTTCACTTCCCTCGTCTCTTCTGGGTTGGGTTTGTCTAAGACTTTTTGGTTGGGTTAAGAGTCAAGACTTCTTTGGACGTACTAGTCTTTAGGTTTATTGTATATAAGACCAATCTCTACCCTCTACTTAAATTTTTATGTAAATTTAAATTTAATTAAAAATAGATTAAAAACAAGTTTCGGTCTTTGACTTAACCATATATCAAATGGAGGAAGACTTAATTTTTTATTCAAATTAAGATAAATTTAAATATTTACTAAAATCTTCAACAATCAGATTTTACTCTGTTAAAAGATTTAATGATTATTAAAAAGTAAATTAGAAGAGACTTAACTCCAAGTTTTTCTATCTTTATCCAAAAAAAATTTAATATCATAGCATTANCGATAAAAGGTGAGACTCTAAGCGAAAATTATAAATGAGGCTCTTTAAAAATTTATTATAAATATAATTTTAACATATGACTACATTTCATTTAAAATTTATTATTCTCAAATTTCGTGATGTAAAATTAGTGATTAATTTTTTATCTTCACATTTTGTTAGTATATCTTATTTGAGTTTTATGTTTTTAATATTTGGATTCATATTTTTACATTTAACAAATTCAAAACCCAAAATTCTTGTAACCAAAACAAAGTGATAAAACAATAAATAGTTATAATAAGAGAAGGTTTAATAAAAATAGAACAACAATACATGATAAATAGAGCTTGTATACAATTTTTTAGTGATATGGGTAACTAAGTATAAATTTTTTTTTAATGCAAACTAGTTAGTGCGTGTGTGAGAGAGAGATTTATTTGTAGACTTTAATTGTATTACGACATTTGATATTTTAGTGATTTGACTAAGGGTGTTCACTTTATCCTACGAGTAGAAAATATAGTCTTTCGTCTTTCTGCATGATACTTTGCAGAAGTATTTTTTTTTGCTATCCTACCCGATCAGGTGTGTTATTTCTACTCGACTTCTTACCTGATTAATCGGGTAGGAAGTCGGGTAAATATTTTTGTAACTATTAATTTTTGGATCATTTTAATAATTCAATTAAATAGCATACACAAATTTAATAACATAATAAATCAATAACACAAATCTAAAACAACTACAATAACAATTACAATAAAATGTAAGAAAACATATATATCAATTCATTATAATTGTTACACAATTATAATAATAATTATTGTAAGTTTAAATTATATGAAACATATTAAAATCATAATTGCTTCAATAGATCACTAGTTTTTCACAAATCATGCAATCTATACAAAAAATAAGTCCATGTTTTCGCAATTCAAACATCCAAAATAATAACAATGTTATAACATAAATTATACCACACAAATACTCTTATAATTACTTAAAAAAAATATAAAAAAATTAAATATATTTTTTACGGATAGAGTAAGAATGCGAAAATTGATAAATATTTTACATTCATAACTAATTTTTATGACTAACTGTTTAATAAGATAGAATAAGATCAGATATAATAGAAAATTACGAGTAATCAAAAATTTGAATACCTTAGATTTGACCATTGAAAAGATACTATTGGGCCTTTCAATTTTACTTAGATTTTTTCTAAGAATTTGCATATGTTTAAATTTTTTTGTATTTAAAATATTTTTTTAAACCAAAATAATAGGTGAAGACTGTGAACATAATTGATGACCTTCTTTCTTTCGAGGCCCTAGGCAGTTGCTTAGTTGACCAACCTATTAGGCCGGCCTTGCCCACGTCAGTGGTAAAATACATATAAAAATGTTAAATCATTCTTAAAAATAATAAAAAATTTTATTATAAAATAAATCATAAAAATTATAAAAATATCTCTTAAAATGATAAATTTTGAAAGAATGATACCTAAATTTTTTTAATCGTACCATAGTCGAATCCGATAGAAATGTGACTGATAATTACCGCACTACTGTTGTGGAGGAGGGAAAGTCCACTACGCAACTTGAATATTACCTTTTGTCTCATCTACACACGTGGCAAACATTTATTGGTAAAACTTTCAACGTCAACAATCGAAGCTAGATAACAGCTGCCCTTTCAGCAGTTTCGTACAGGATCACCCAACTTCCTTTTTGACTTTTCCACGTTCACTTCCCTCGTCTCTTCTGGGTTGGGTTTGTCTAAGACTTTTTGGTTGGGTTAAGAGTCAAGACTTCTTTGGACGTACTAGTCTTTAGGTTTATTGTATATAAGACCAATCTCTACCCTCTACTTAAATTTTTATGTAAATTTAAATTTAATTAAAAATAGATTAAAAACAAGTTTCGGTCTTTGACTTAACCATATATCAAATGGAGGAAGACTTAATTTTTTATTCAAATTAAGATAAATTTAAATATTTACTAAAATCTTCAACAATCAGATTTTACTCTGTTAAAAGATTTAATGATTATTAAAAAGTAAATTAGAAGAGACTTAACTCCAAGTTTTTCTATCTTTATCCAAAAAAAATTTAATATCATAGCATTATTTATTATTTTTATGAGTATTTATATCACTTTTCAGGATGCAAATAATTTTTTAGGCTCATTTTTTATCTTTTGAGTTTACTTACTATTTTTATTTTCACTTTTTATATAAAAATTACTATTTTTGAAGTTTTTTTTTCATTATAATAGTGTTTTCCTCTAACTATCCAAACATTAACTCATGGACTTGATTACGGTATCAAAAAAAAAAAAAAAAAATTTGGTACCATGTCTTAATGAGAGTTTTTTTTTTAACTTTTATGAATTATTTTATAATAAAAAATTGTCACTTTTGTGGGTAATTGTGTATTTTTATCACATTTGTATTAACTATTTTTATCAATTTTTTTGCTAAAAAAATTAAAACTTTTGTAGGCGAATTATCATATTTATGACTGTTTTTGTCACTATTGTGATAATTTTTTTAAAATTATTTTTAGGTATCACAATAATGCTAAAAATACTCATAAATATAATAAAAATAATTACAAATGTAATAAGTAGAAATATAGTACCGAATATATTTTTTTTTCTTTACCGTAGTCAACTACTCATTAACTCACATTCTGAGTTTAACAACAGCACACCGTCACTGTATCACCTCCCAGAAGAGGCTGGTGGGGTAGAAGATAACGTCTACACCAGACCAGTCCTCTTCGGTGGCCCATGGACGGACCTTCCTCCTGTTTGTCTACTCGGTTTCCCAAATTTCCCCGTTGAAAAAACCAGTTGTTGTTTATGGAAGATCTCTCTGAAACTTTACTTGACCAAAAAGGAACCTCCTCAAAGTCATCCTCAATCCTCATCTTCCAATGTTTCCGTCAATTGAAAAAATAAAAACCAGTCTCTATTTATATGATAATCACATTTTTCACCTAAAAATATTAAAAAATATATTATAATATAACTTTTCTATTAATTTATGTTACTTATTATATAAAAAAAAAGTCTATTGAAATGAGTAACAAAAACTAAACAAATGACCCTATTACAATATTTTTAATATATTAAAAGTATAATATAAAAAATCTAAGAATTCTTAAAATTTTCAAGTGCAAAAAACAATTCACTCTTACAAATTTGAGCACCGGAGGTAAAATGAAATTAATCCCTATTTATATATTGGGAGAATTACACTCAAATTTTCTGTCATTTAATCATTTAAATTTCTTAATATTTAAAATATTATACATAAATTCCATGAGCTTCGTACATTCGTAACCCTTTAGACTCTTAATTTTAAAATATTATACTTAGATTAAAAATAATTCAATCAAACATATAATATCAAAATATTTTAAAGTTTAAATCAAAATTTATGTTATATTATATCACTTATTGAAATAAAATTCAAAATAAAAATTCAAAATTTTCATAAAAAATTGTAATTAGTATATAATTATACCATTTATTGGAATAAAACTAAAAAACAATAAACAAGATGTCTAAGTCATTTATAATAATAGAACATAAATTTTACAACACAAATTTATGTTCTATTTCTTTATTTATTGAAATAAAATCAACAATAAAAATCAAATTTTTTATTAAAAAATTATAATTAGTATACAAATATACTATCTATTGATATAACAGTAAAAAATCAAATAAGGGATCAAATTAAAATGAATACAATGTCTTTTAGTTTTAATTAGGGTAATTTGGTAGTTTAATTTGGCAATTTAAATGACCTAATTAAATTATAATAAATATTATAATTATATACTAATAATATTTTTTTAAGAAAAAATTAGATTTATATTTTTGATTTTATTTCAATAAAAGTCATGATAGAACATAAATTTTAATTATAAAATTTAAAATATTTGATATTTTATTTTTGATTAAAATATTTTTTATGTAAGTATAATATTTTAAATTTTAGGGTTTAAATATTACATGCTTATAAATTTTAAAAAGTATAAGTGGAATTTATATTTAACGAATATATTAACTGTGCGTAAAAGTTTTAGGTGGTCTATGTGTAACGAATATATTAAGTGTGTGTAAGATTTCTACAACTCATCATACCTACCTTCCAAATCCTTGAGCAGCTACATAGAGGTGTACATTTACATATATGTATGTGTTTATATATGACGGTAGCCGGTGGGTGTAAATTTTTCGATTTGTCTTCTCCTTTTATTAATTCATACATCACCTTTATTCCCTGACAAATTGTTTTCATCAAATTTTTTCTCACCCAGCAAACCCAGAAATTTTTTTGTCAACCTTCTTCAGTTTTGGTGTCATCAATGGCTTCTAGAATACTATTTATGCTTATATTCTTGTGTTATTTTGTAAACCCATCTCTTTCTGATCCAAGAGCTACCCAAGCAGCTCTAATATGTACCAATACTACTGCAGCACAGTCAGATCGACAAGTCTTTGTGGCGAACTTCTTAGCTGCCATGGACACATTGACCCCATTGGTCACCCGGCAAAGATATGGTGGCGTTGTTAATGGGTCTGGTAATACAACAGTCTATGCGTTTGGTGAGTGTATGGAAGATTTGTCACAAACGGATTGTAATCTCTGCTTTGCACAGTGCAAGACTCAAATTCTCAGATGCCTCCCATTTCAGAGATTGATTCGTGGTGGTAGACTTTTCTATGATGGCTGTTATCTGAGGTATGATGATTATATGTTTTTCAATGAGAGTTTGAGTTCAGTTGATAGTACTGTGTGTGGGGTTACTGATTTTGGTGGTAATCAAAGTTTGTTCAGAGTTAATGTTATGGAGTTGGTGAGGAATTTGAGTGTTGAAGGGCCTAAGAATGGTGGGTTCTTTACTGGGTCTGTGAGTAGAGGGAATTTATCAGTTTATGGGCTTGCTCAGTGTTGGGAATTTGTGAATGGGAGTGCTTGTGAGGAGTGTTTGGCAAACTCAGTATCAAGGATTGGTTCTTGTCCTCCAAAGGAAGAAGGAAGGGTGTTGAATGCTGGTTGTTATGTGAGGTATTCAACCCAAAAGTTTTATGACAATTCCACAGATGAAACTGGAACAAATGGAGGTCAGTTGGGTTTTTTTTTTCTTGAGTTATGTTCTCTTTCATTATAATTTTCCATATGGTAGGTGCCAGTATATGCAATTTGAGGTTTATCAATCTGGTTCTCTTGCATGTCTGGGCTTCCTTTTAATAGCAGCAAAGTCTCTTAATCATTTTGTCATAAATTGGACCCTTTATAATTGATTGCTATCCGAATTTTGGAAAGAATTTATACAATTGGTGGAAATTTTGCTTTTTATAGCAAGGGACTTGCTTTCGTTATTGCAAAAGCTCCTTTTAATTAGTGGAATCTATCATTTTTGTGCTGAAGAATTTGAGAACTGGATATATTTACAATTATTTAGTAATGGTTCTGCAGCATTAGTTAAACTGTTATTTATGAGATAAATAGTGTCATATTAGTTTCAACAATAACATATTTCCCAATTTCATCGTGATGTTCACCATTTGTCGACTTTTCTAATAGTACTCTTGTTGGATGCATCAGTGTAGAACTGATTTTAGTTTTACTATGGTGGTTACCTCACAATAACTTGAAGTGTACCCTGCGTATCTTGATTTTCTTCAATAAATGCTTTCCATTTTGCGGTGATTTGATAGTTATCATATGTTGATATGGTTATAAGGAGGAGGCAACCGCTTGGCTATAATTCTGGCTGCAACTTTTGGTGCTGTCGCTTTTGTTCTATTCGTAGCAACAGTTTCTTTCTTTCTGAATAGAAAATTTGTGAAGCAGAGGAGAGGTACCTAAGTATGAAAGTTGAAGTTTCAGATTTTCAATTGTAATTATGGATTAAATTTTAAGTCATATTTCTCTGCTCTGTGTTGCAGAGATGAAGCAACTAGGTGCTCTATTGGACTCTGTTAATAAGTCCAAACTCAATTTTTCATACGAAACTCTTGAAAAGGCAACAAACTACTTCCATGAATCCAATAAGCTGGGTCAGGGAGGATCTGGATCAGTTTACAAAGTAAATCCTCTTCACCACCATTTGTATCTACTAGCAGACGGGCGTATCATTACTGTATATTTGATTCGAATAATTTCTTTCTGTAAATCAGGGGATTTTGCCAGGCGGGCAAGCTGTTGCAATAAAGAGGCTTTTCTTCAATTCAAGCCAATGGGTTGATCATTTCTTCAATGAGGTCAACTTGATCAGTGGCATCCAGCACAAAAATCTGGTCATGCTGTTGGGTTGCAGCATTACTGGCCCTGAAAGCCTTCTTGTTTATGAATATGTGCCGAACAGAAGCCTTCATGATTACATTGGTGGTTGTTCTCTCGCCCATGAATGCCTCTGTATTAATTATTTCTCCTTACTTTATTCATTCGTAGATTTTTTTGCTGACGAGCACTCTGATTTGATTCAGTTACAAGGAATGTCGAGCCTTTAACGTGGGCACTGAGGTATAAGATCATACTGGGCACAGCGGAGGGCTTGGCCTATCTTCATGAGGAATCGATAGAGCGAATCATACACAGAGACATAAAGTTAAGCAATATACTTCTCGATGAGGACTTCGCGCCAAAAATCGCTGATTTTGGGCTTGCTAGACTATTTCCAGAAGATAAGACTCATATTAGTACTGCCATTGCCGGCACACTGTAAGTTCAACAACTTTGACTGATCTTCTAGATATTTTGCCTTCCTCTTCGTTAACCAACTAAAGAGAAAAAGCAAATAAGACTGCCATTGTGTAGACCTTTATGACAGATCAGGCTAAGTGACTAGTCTGAAATCCTTTGGGTTTGAAATTACCATGTCAAACACATCCTACCTACCTATGTTGGCTCTCGGTGCCCTTGACAGTTTAGTTGTCGTGCATAATTTTATAATTCGTGCCAATTTGAGTTTTTTGTTTTGGGTGCAATCCAAACATGGTACCTCTATTTTCCATGGAGTTCATTCATCACTCATTATCAAGTAATCCTCTTCAGCTAATATTCACTGTAAACATCTGTATTTGGCATTCCATTTTTCACACCTGTCTAACACTTTACCTCTTGTATTCATACCAAATGAAAATAAACCAGAACTCTTCTTGCAGTGGTTACATGGCACCAGAGTATATTGTCCGTGGCAAATTGACTGAGAAGGCAGATGTTTACAGTTTTGGAGTTCTTGTGATTGAACTCATCAGCGGAAAGAAGAATAATGCTTTCTCTCAAAATTCATTCTCCATACTACAAACGGTACCTCAATTTTATTTTATTTTTATATATTCTCCTTTGCTTTCTAAGGCTTTAGAGACGGCTGAAATTTACCCTTATTTTCTATTTGTTTAGGTCTGGAACCTTTATGGAGCAGGGAGGTTGTGTGAAGCTGTTGATGCATCACTTGAGGGTAAATTCCAAGTTGAGGAGGCATATAGGTTACTTCAAATAGGTCTACTTTGTGTACAAGCCACTGCAGAATTGCGCCCATCCATGTCTACCGTTGTGAAAATGATAACAGATACCCATGAAATTCCTCAGCCAACGCAGCCACCATTTCTCAATTCCAGTAGTACAGAGATCACTCCATTTAGTCAGCCTGGTACTTATGTTTTTCAACCTAATTCAAACACACAGTCTTCCGGGAACAGCATGACAGAAAGCTTGATTGAGCCTAGATAAACTATTTCCTTCAATGTGTTCATGTAAAAAAATCGCCTAACCAAAAATTCGTTTACCATGAACACCACCATTACCAGGTTATATCATTCCTCATCTAACATATTTCTGGTTGATGCACATCTTGCACTCCACTTAGACAAGCTTTTTGCTATCTGGAAGAGAACAATTGAAGCCGATCTTGTTCGGGCACATCTGCAAGTTGTTTGTAATGGTTTTCATCACCCTTCATGGATTTGTCTCATGAACCTAGTGTTGTAGAGCATTTTAACCTCCAAGCATAGCTGAGATGATGAGTCAGTTTTAGAGCTAAATGACTTATTGTAAATTCACTTGTAAAGATACTCCATTTCATAGAGAATGAATGTGATTATTCTGTAATTAATACTTGCTTGAAGGGCAATTGAGCTTTAATAAGAAATTTGCTGCATGTACAGTTGATAAGTCTTCATTTCTTTCTTTTTTTTTTCCCATTAGGGGTGCAACACGATGACTTTCCCAATTGATAATACTCATGTTTATTATTATGACTTTAGAAAACGGCGTCATACCATTGTAGAAAACGACCTCATACCATTTACAAGACCTCTTAGTTGTTTAATTTTATTTGATTAAGGAAAAATGAGCGCTAATTTCTTAATTGTGGTAATGGGTGAGTTTGCGTCAACTTATAATTTTTATTTTTATTTTTTTGGCTACATAATATTCATGCTTGCGCCGATTACTCTCTCGAACTCAACAACTGACCATTGTGATTTGAGCTGAGTTAGAACTTGTGGTGTGTGAAGGAATTGAATCTGAAATATCTGAATTATCAAAGACCAAACTCAGCCACTAAACTACCTCTGAGAATTGTTCCACCTTCTAATTAATTGGACAGTGTCATACACCAACTATATGAAGGGTGGCCTTTGTGCGGTTATTTTATCATGGCATCGTTGGAATCAAGACAACATCTTTATAATAACGAGTATGAACTGAACTAATCATATTAAATATTTATAATAACCTTCTAGAAATATTATCTCTTTGAGTTTTCCTCACCAACAGTAGTAAAATAGACTAAATTAACCAATAAAAAACTTTATTAATTAGCATGCTGATGATGTATTGCTTTATTTAATTTATTCAAGATGCTCAAATCAGTGTACCAAATTCACGCATTGCGTTGATTTTTGCTCCTCTCTCTGTCATGATTTGTTTCGGTCTCAACAGTCTACAACCGCACCCCTTTGAATTACAGCATAGAAACTTTTATTTTTGTTCACCACCATTAAACTGTGTATTATGAAATATTATTTATATACTAGTGTGACCGGTGCAAAACACCTATTTTTTTAATATATGTGTTGAGTTATTTTGGTTAAAAATAAAATTTAAATGAGTTATCGTGATCAAAAAATTAAAATATTAAATCATAATATTAATCGTTGGATCTAGCGATCTACCTTCTTCTTGTACTTTTCTGAGTGATGAGCTTAAATAGATATTTCATTTTATTATTGGGCAATGCTATATAGATTTAAAGCCATTAAAATTATTATATAGGGGTGGAGTCATACATTTTTTTCAATAGGAACAATCTAAATTATATGAATATTAAAATTATTAATGTTTATAAAAGTATAGTTTCATTAATAGAACGTCACTTAAAGTTACAATTCATTTACATGAGCGTTATACAAAAAGATCCAACAAAAAAAAAAATTCACTATTAATTTATCTATAAGACCTAATAACCTAACAAAAAACTTTGAACTAAAAAATTGGACTTAATCATATATAACTGAATTTTAATAAACAATTGAAACAAACGTAAAATATGTTTATTCTATTAAATTAAACTTGAGTATAGAAATTACTTAATCAATCACAATAAAATTATTTAAACCAACAAATCAAAACAATTTAATTTAACACATAATGGAGATATTTAGCCTTTTAAAGTAATTTTTTTAATATTTATAAATGAGACTCATATATTTATCAAAATATCATAACCACTTATAAATCTTTTAAAAAATATTTAGTGAAGGCAAATATCTAAAAAATTTAAAATTTTTTAAAATTTTACTTACATTACAAAAGTTATTATTTCAGTGAGGGCAAAGAATTCATGGTCTTTAAATTTATAATTTATTGTTATTATCACTCGATGGTAAAGTTAGACTACTTTCGGTGAGTGTGACAACAAAACAAATTATGTCACCATTGATTATCAATCTTTTAAAAAATATTTTGACTTTAGGAGTTCAGGGTCGANTATACTAGTGTGACCGGTGCAAAACACCTATTTTTTTAATATATGTGTTGAGTTATTTTGGTTAAAAATAAAATTTAAATGAGTTATCGTGATCAAAAAATTAAAATATTAAATCATAATATTAATCGTTGGATCTAGCGATCTACCTTCTTCTTGTACTTTTCTGAGTGATGAGCTTAAATAGATATTTCATTTTATTATTGGGCAATGCTATATAGATTTAAAGCCATTAAAATTATTATATAGGGGTGGAGTCATACATTTTTTTCAATAGGAACAATCTAAATTATATGAATATTAAAATTATTAATGTTTATAAAAGTATAGTTTCATTAATAGAACGTCACTTAAAGTTACAATTCATTTACATGAGCGTTATACAAAAAGATCCAACAAAAAAAAAATTCACTATTAATTTATCTATAAGACCTAATAACCTAACAAAAAACTTTGAACTAAAAAATTGGACTTAATCATATATAACTGAATTTTAATAAACAATTGAAACAAACGTAAAATATGTTTATTCTATTAAATTAAACTTGAGTATAGAAATTACTTAATCAATCACAATAAAATTATTTAAACCAACAAATCAAAACAATTTAATTTAACACATAATGGAGATATTTAGCCTTTTAAAGTAATTTTTTTAATATTTATAAATGAGACTCATATATTTATCAAAATATCATAACCACTTATAAATCTTTTAAAAAATATTTAGTGAAGGCAAATATCTAAAAAATTTAAAATTTTTTAAAATTTTACTTACATTACAAAAGTTATTATTTCAGTGAGGGCAAAGAATTCATGGTCTTTAAATTTATAATTTATTGTTATTATCACTCGATGGTAAAGTTAGACTACTTTCGGTGAGTGTGACAACAAAACAAATTATGTCACCATTGATTATCAATCTTTTAAAAAATATTTTGACTTTAGGAGTTCAGGGTCGAACGACCTTCCAGTTCAAGGATGGAGCAAAAAGCAACAATTGCTTTCATTGGTTTCACTGACATGACACCTTGAGTCCTCCTATTTTGTCTTTTCACCAAGGTTCCTCAAGCTAGCTAACTGACCCCCATTATCTCCCCTAGCTTAAAAATGAGCATGTACAAGTCCGTTATGGTCCACGATTTTTGCACAATAAAAGAATAAGATATATCTCTTTTTTGGCGAACACGAAATTTACTTCAAAATTAAAAATTTCGAGACAACAAAAAGCGAGAAAGATGGTAAGGGAGGCAAAGACACTGTTGCATTATTGCATGAGTTTTTTGCTTACATTTGTTTTGCATTTTAGAGAGTTATTTATACCTTTATAAAGGTCATCATTACTAGCAAGTGGGCCCCTTGAATACGCATCCGAGCGGTTTGAAGTTTATGCGTCCGGATGCTAGAGGTAGAAAGGTGAATAGTTGATTGAGGAGTATACTAGAAGTTGCGTCTAGACAGGATATAAACACGTGTCTAGACATTAGTCTACCAACGCCAAAGTGGAGTTTCAATGCGATTCAAATTTTTCCTCAACAAAGTTATAAATAGGAGATGAAGACCTTGTGAAAAAAAACCCCTACCTTTTGCTGAGAGTCTCTTTATATTTTTAATTTTTGTTAATCATGTCTAGCTAGAAGGTTAAGTTATAGCTAGGGGAATATTATTAACTTCTGAGCTTAATGATATGTGATGTTTTGTTAATTCAACTTTTGATTTCTTAACAAAGTTTTTGCTCTGTAAAAGTCTTTGAGTTATTGTGTCATATACATTGATTGCTTGAATTTTCCTGCAAGTCAAATAACTAGTTATTCCATGTTTAAGTTAATTATCATTAGTTCATAAAATAATTTAATTGGATATTATTCAAGTTCCTGAATAATCTTTCAGTTATAAATTATGGTTTTATTGCTTAATTTGGTGACTTGAATCAGCCGACATTTGATTCTTGTTTCAAGTTAAAATTTAAGTCTTTAATCATTATTGTATGTATTTGAGAGGGAGTACCTGATACTCTAAGTTTTTTTTTTAACTATTTTAAATTACTTAAATCAATATTCTTAACTCAACAATCTTTTACACAAATTGTCTTCACAAGTTTGTTATGATATTAGTGTTGATGGGTTAAGCTCAAATAGTCCAATTTATGTGTTAAATTCCAACCTCAGTTGAGGAGCCCAACCTCATTTTGAATTCACCAAGCCTAAGGCAGTCCAAGATCGGTTAAACTTTTTGCTTAGCACGTCATCAAGAGAAGAGCATGGGAAGCTTATCTGCACCACCGAAGGAAACGGTCCAATCTTTGACCGCGTTTCATGAAGAGCTCCCCAACCTCCTCCTTCCGTTGAGGATAAGTCGTGATCTCCACCAGAATGATCTTTTAGTGCTATAAAGTAGCCTTGAGGATAAGTCATGATCTCCACCAGAATGATCTCTTAGCTGCGATAAAGTAGCCTTGAGGATAAGTCATGATCTCCACAAGAATGATCTCTCAGCTGCTATAAAATAGCCCCAATCTGTTAGGAGACTACTATAAATGGCACGCCCCACCAACACTTACAGAGGACAGACCGACGACCGGAGACCACTGCTTCTTTGATTCTCCATTCTCTCAAAGCTTGTATCTCTATTCTCCATACCTTTGAATTAATAAAATACCCGGCAACTGAAGCCATTGAAGAGTGGACGTAGGTCGAATTGACCGAACCACTATAAATTGTGTCTTCTTTAATTTTTTCGTTGATTTCATTGCATTTATTACCTACACTTGACAGGTGGTGTGCAAAACCATTTTTGTGCATCATCAGTTTGGCGCCGTCTGTGGGAATTGACAAAATTCTCACTCCTGAACATTACATCCATTAACTAATGGCGATCACTACTCGATCCATGAACCAACACGAAGACAATCCTCCACGAGAGGAGGAGGTTGCTCCCCCGCCTATCAACCCTGTTCCGGATACTCTAGCCCCGAATCCCCAACAAATATTGGAGACCATGCAGCAACTGGTTGCTCAAAACCAACAGTTACTGCAACTCATACTTGCTGGACAAGGAGGAGCACCACACGGAGGTGCACAACATGGAGGACCCCAAGGTGGAGCACCACACGGAGGTGCACAACATAGAGGGCCCCACGGAGGTGCACAACATGGAGCA